TACAGAGCAACCAAAAAAAAAAAAAAAAAAAAAAAAATGAAATTAATGTTTTAAAAAAAATGGCATAGCACTGAAATTCAACTTCATGACCTTCAAGTACAGCAGCATGAGGAATGCTGAAAAAGGAGTGAAAACATTTCTTCAGATGAACAAATAGCAATGTTGAAAATTCCTCGTAGAAGCATTGCAAAATGGTCTAACGGGGGAATAATAAAAGGCCTCAAAGTTAGATTTGCCTTGGGCAAGAATGGTTATAATTACTTGCACAGAATAGGTTTTCCTGTGCCTTCATACAGCACTTTAAATAAAGACTTCAAGGTCTTGTGAAATTAATTTTGGAGTCATCAGTGACATGATTGAACTTTCAAAAATTAAAGGAGAAAAAATGAATGCTAGTGATAAAGACTGTATTTTATCATTGGATGAAATGGAGATTTTGGCAATCCTGATTTGATATTTCGAAACGTAAATTTATTGGTAAATGTACATTAAGAAATCAAAAGGCTGCAAGAAATCACTAGTTAGTTATTTTACTAAGAGGTCTGAAGCTGAAATGGAAGCAAGTGGTTGTCCATGAGATAACTGGACAGGTAACAGGATGCCAGCTGAAATAACTTGTTGTCAATGTTATCGATGCTGTCAATTCTGTTCGATTTAATGTTGTTGGTATTGATAGCGATATGGCAACAGTAAATAGAAGCCTGTGGAATTCTTTGGGAATATCCGTTTCTTGAAATTCAGATTAGAAAATTCAGATTTCAGAAATTAAGGGCAAAATTATTTATGTATTTGCAGATGTGCCAGATCTTTTAAAAAATATGTGGTCTGCAACTCTTAATAATAGCATAAAACTGTCCAGTTATGTTTGCAGTAAAGAAAAATTTGTTACTTCGCATGTATCTGCAGGATTTATAAAAGATATCTGGATTACAGAAACAAACCAAAATTGTGGTTTGAGAACTATGCATCATCTCAACAAAGACCTCTTCCCTTCATATTTTGATAAAATTTGAATGTTGCTTCTGCTGTGAGGTTTTTTTCAATTAAAACAGCTGTAGGATTGGAGAAGGCAGTAGCTTTAAAAGAGGTAAGCCCTAATGCTCTTACAACAGCATGGTGGATAAGATTTATATGTCAGTGGTTTCAAATGCTATCCTCTAGACTTAGAAAGAACTCAATTTCCGTGACAAATAAAAGCAAAAAAATTGAGTTACTTTTTGAATTTATTAATGTTATACAGCTTATAGAAATTGGTAAAGGGTGGAAAAACCATTACATACTGGTTTGATTCTTTCTACTTTATCAGCCATACAGTTAGCAGAGGCATGTTTTCTGAATGATTTTCAGTTTATTTTGACGAGCAGATTGACACAAGATGCTCTAGAAAATGTATTTTCTCAGATACGCAGAAAAAGCTGGTTTGAGGCCAAGTGCTTTGCAAGCTGTGAAAGCATTAAAGCTTATCTGTTTATCTCAGTTTATATCTGACATTAAAAAGTCCAGTTATGCTACTGATTCAGATATTTACTTATTAAACTATGCAAAAGATGAATTTGAATTTCTGAAGGAGAAAAAAGCTTTAGAGCCTGTAACCATACCAGAAGTTTCTGATGTATCTCTACAGAACCTCACCCTTAGTGAGGAAAATAACGTCTGTTATATTGCAGGAGCTGCAATAAATTCTGTTTGAAAAATGCTTGTAATTCATGCTCACAGTTTCTCTTAGTTTGTGAGCAAAAATACTCCTTCCATTGATGATGAAAATAAGCAGTACCTAATTAATTTTGCAAATTTAGGTGGGCTTAAATGTCCTCCAGAAAAGAAATTTTTAAATTGTGCCTTCTGTGTGAAAAAATAATTCAAAATTTTCGAGACGAAATAATACATGGAAATGTAACTATGGATGTGGAATTTGTTAATATGATTTGTAAAGAAAGCAGGCAAGGTAAATATTCCCTCCTGTTGCAATATCAAAACAAAGATAATAAAATATTATTTGACTGCCCGTGGAATTGGTCTCAAAAAGCTTCTTCAAAATAAAAGGCAGCAGCGGCAAAGTTTTGCATCTCCTGCTTTTAAAAGGAAGAAAGTAAACTAGAAGAATCTAATCAAGAGTTTAAGAAGTTTTTGCTGTTCAGTTCTGTCTGTAAAAAAGTAGAGTAGTTGTCACTGAAAAAATTGCTGCTTGTTCTTCGAATAATAATTAGGCCCACCAACAGCTGAATGGTTAAAGTTACTGAATGCTGGGAGTTCCATCTTCTGTTCTATTTCCGAACAGGCTGGCTGCATGGTTTGGTTTTTTTTGGTTTTTCCCCATGTGTAATGTGAATACAAGCCAGTTCTCCTTAGAAAGTCCTCTACAATAGAAGATCTCATAGTCAGCTAAATCGGATTTACTTTTGTGTGACCTTAAATGAGGCATCAATTGTGAATCTGTTTTGGCATGTTATTAGGAATTTTGAATGAAACATTTATTGCTGTTGTGAAGAATGATCAACTGATGTTTACCTTACTAATCAATGTCTTATAGTATTGTAATGGCTTGCAGGATTTTTCATAATGAGATGTTGCATATGTTTTACTCTTCTTTTTTACCAAATAAATAGAGTACGTTCCTAATCAGACATTTCTTCTTTTGTACCAGGGTTATGTGGTATGATGTGATAATTTGTATTTGTTTATAGAATACATAACAGTATTTTTTGACATTCTAATAGAACCAGTGTGTTTTATTTATCTACTTATTGCTTTAAAACAGATTTTGAATCAAGGCTTACTTCCCACCCCCCTTTGAGTATGCACATAAAACATGTTTAAGCTATATTTATAATATCAATGAGATATATGTAAATGAAATAAGTCTCTTAGGTTAGCTCCTTTAATGGAAAAAGAACAAAAATAAAAATGATATACCTTGAAAACAAGAATACTATCTGAATAGTGTTGGCTAAGATTTATTCAGATGGTTTTTTACATTTATTCAAACATCTCCGCATATAAATGAGAATTAATTCTATTATATTAGTTTTAAAAGTAAAAGTAATATAATATCATTCTATATAAAGCAGTTTGATGTATAATGGAAAAAATTCAATTACTGCAGTATGTTTTAATAAAATTTGAATATAATAGACTGAATTGCACTACATTAGACAAAAAAGCAAAACATTTTTTTTATTTATCTTTATTTTCACTATATGTGTTTGTCATGTTTGTTACTAGAGGACTTATTTTATAGATTTGAAGCTAAATAATATTTTTATGTTTTTACTTATGCAAATTAATTAATAAAAAGAACTGTGATTTAAGTATTGTCTTTGCTGTGATACAGATTAAATCTTATTATGTTATGGAATTATCATTTAAATATTCAGATACGTGTAATATTAAGAGCATATGTATGTAAGTATAATTTTTCCAAGTATAATAAAAGTAACCATCAACAACAAATAAACTTATAAGTAAAATAGTATCTGTAAATTCTGTATGTAAAGGTATTATTTTTATTTTTATTTATTTATGTGTGTATTATTTTAATATTGTTTTTAGCTAAACAAAGAACAAAAAAAAAAAAAAAAAAAAAAAAAAAAATTAATGGAATTTTTTACTCTATTAAATCTATGAATCCCACAGTCATCTGAGCATTGAAGTAATTTTTATAGCATTCTGCACTTCATTCTAAAAGCATTATAATTTAAAGGTGTATATCCTGAATCAGTATTTAAAATCATAAAGTGTTTAGCAGCTTTTTCTTTAAACACACACAAAATAACATTTTTAACAAATTTGCTACAGTAATAGACGTTTGATTCCATGTGAGCAAAATTCAAATAACATATTAAAAATAAAAAACAAGAATTAAAGATTAAACCTTATCCTAAATTAATGGAGGTTGAGGGAAAGCTCTTGTCAAAAAATACATTTTGAGATGAATAACATTATGCGTGTATTTAAAAGAAAAAATTGAAAATTCAATAAAGGAATTCAAAAAGAAAGTATTTTTAACTAAAAATACAAATTTGAAATATGATATGTGAAAATGTTTTAGAAACTTTTAAAAATAACTTGAATCATACGAGAAATTGGCAATTTAAAAAAAAAAAAAATACGAGAAAGAATCTGTACTGCAGACAAAAGAAGGGGAAAAGGAAAAAGCCACACATCTTTATAGGATTGCAGAAAAAAGCTGAAATTCGGATTCTCTAGAATGTTAAATTTTAGCGGACAGCGCTAAAGAGCCAAAGTTGCCGCTCCACACCTAAATTGCAACCCTAAAGCTTAGATTCAAAATGGCTGACGAGTCAGCCTGTATCTCTAGTAGCTCTAGCCTGTAGATATCTAGTTGGCCTTGGGTAGGGTTTGGAAATACGCGCCTGGGACACATATGTCTACTACTAAGAATTTGTGTTTCAGAAAGCAGCGCCTCCTTTTACTCTGTCTCACGTGAAAAACATCGGTAAAACAAAAAGGCGAAAGTAAAAGTCAGGTGGCCGCCATCAGTCGATGAAAAAGGTGAGGTTCTCGTTGAAGGTCCAAATCAGTGAACTGAAGAATCTAGTATGAGTAAATAATGTTAAGGATAGAGAATGTGAGATGGATATTTGTGCTTTTCTCTGGGAAATGGAGAACATCTAAGAGAGCACATATGTCTCAGCCGTAGTTAATGGTGGGATACATATGTCCCACATGTAGTGATCGACTTACTATAAGTACACCTATTATTCTGGAAAACTGGTGGAACTTATATGAAATGGATTTCACATCATAGGACACAGGGTAATGCTTTCTTTGCAAAACCCAACATTTTGCATTAGAAACTCATATTTGTTCTTTTCTTTATGTTCATTTGTGTAAAAACGACCATATAGTGGTCTTGTATTTCCAACTATTGGAAGATGATCCCCAATATTCAGGAGATTCTAAGTACTTTTTAACTGAGCAATAAATTTTAAACTTTGAGTGGGACATATATGTTCTGTTAGTATTCAAAGGGATAAAATAATATAAAGGCGCCAAAAACAATTATATTCTTCAGATGCATCAGTAAAACATATGGAAATTTTTAGTGCTGTCAAATAATATTGTATGAAATATCATACTCGAGAACTGTGTAACAAAATTAGAAACTGTAATTAATAATATGCACGGAGTATAATGATGTAAAACTTTAAACAATATTTTCTCAGCTTATTGAGTTTAGCTTATTCAGCTTATTTTATTGATCAAGGCTTTTGCTATTATGGTGTAGATCAAGGAAAAAAAACTACATTGAGCTCAAATACAGCTCAAGCCTTAGCAGTATAAACTAAGTTTCTCAGCTCAGGCAAAGATGGCTCAGATTAGTTCGATGTCGCTGTCGACTTGAAGCACCATCTGTCAGTGGTTACTAACACCATTATTTCTCTAGATCAGTTCTAGATTTGCGTTTCTTACAATTTCAAATGTGGCAACATAAATTGTGCTACCTTTTAAACGTCTTTCTGTTTTAATATTGTAACATACGTTTTGTACCATACAAAATGTAAAATACACTATTGGAGTATGACAATAGGAAAAATTTGATTCATTCTTTTATTAGCTTGTACATATTTATATCCTGCAAAATTTGATTTGCTTATGAAGCAAATATTAAGCTAGTATAGGTATGAGCATTTGGAATTCAAGATATTTTTTTATTATTATATTTGTTAAAAGAAAGTACTTGTATTTTCAGATTATAATTGCATATAATTTAACATCTGGAAATAATTTTAATGTTGTTAAAATATACATGGAATTAATTGCTTGAAACTGATATAACAATGAAAAGCATAAGCTTCTTTATTTATATGCAAAACAAATATAGTTTTTTTTTTACATATTTATATGCAAAAGAAATATAGTTTTTTTACATAAATTATTTTAACTAACGTAGTATATGTAGTGTTTATTTGGGAAATACTTCTGTATCTACATTTTGCATCGGTAAAATTCCATGTTTTTGTTATTGTATACATTAATGCCTGTATTAATAACTGTTTTAACAATTTTGCATTTTTTTCAAGTAGCAACACTGATTGCATATGTAAATATCCCACTGCTTAACTTCTGTTTTATAAATAGTAAGTACTTGAAATGCTAAAAATATCATTGCAAAATTTCAAATAGTGTGTAATGATTCAATGAATTTGCATGTAAATATATTCTTAAATTTTTGAAATTGGATTTTTCATATCAAATTAAAATATTGGCAGTAAATTCTGTTATGTTTGTTTTGAATAAATGTCCTCTGAATTTTTAATATTTTGAAGTTTTATTTATTTATTTTTTCACAAAAATTATTGTTCTGAGATTCATGATGTGGCTTTAGTGTAGAATTGGGTGCCCCTTCGATTGGTGAAATTTTTTTAAAAATTTTCACAATGAAACCTCACTTCTGGTTACCACGATAGTTTTAACTTTGTTTTAGCTTCCCGATTTTATTTAAATGTAAATAGATTGATGTGTACATGGACATATTTAAGGCAGTGCGCAATGCCTAGTTTGTGCAATTCTAAGATGTTTTTTTAAGTAAAAACAGATCGATGTGTACATGGTCACAGAGGCTAATCTTTGGAATATGGTAACAGGTAGTTTGGCGACATTTTGGTAAGGCGATAAAAGTTACTAGTTAGGACTTTAGTAGTGTACATGGATAAAGTCAAGAGTGTGCGCAATGCCATTTTTTGTGCAATTCTGGGATTTTTTTTTAAGTGAAAATAGGTCGACGTGTACATGGATGTTACCGTGTATGTGCAATTCTTAAAAATGCGGCAAGCAGTTTGTGATTCTGCACTTTCTCCCTATTTCGCACCTGATCTTCGTCATGATTAAGCATTTTTGTTCCATAAAAGTTCTAGTATAAGCGTAATTCGGCTAGCAAATTGTTGGAAGAAATGTTGAGTAAAAAAAAAAAAAAAAAAAATGCCTTTACTTCGTGAAAATAAAATGCCATCCAAACAAAACTAGCAGGTTGCTGTAGCAGGGTTGGTTGCCAAATTTTCACCAAAAAATCGCCAAGTTACCATAATTCAAAGATTAACTGACACAGATCTTATGCAATTCTTCGACTTCTTATTTTGGGTTTTGTGTAGTGGCCATCTTGAAATTGTGACTTCCTGGCGCCGATCTTGGCGTCAAGAAAGAATCGCCAAATAAACAAGAAGCACCCAATTGTAAACTTTTACTCAAGATGTCACTGATTATCATTATCTGTTTGTGACAGGTACATATTTTAATTTTTATTTATCTACTTCTGTTTCTTACTTCCCAAAGTGATTAGAAAATAATGTTTCATCTTTTATTTACTGCATATTTATCTCTCTTAGGTAATTTAATTTAAACTTAGAATAGAATGATTAACAGAATGGAATTTTTTTGGTAGCATGTATATTATTTTCACAGCGTGAAATCTGTTGGGTACATTTGCCAGATGAATTCTTCAACATTTAAATTTTTTATGATTAAGCGACTGGAAAACAAGCCAGAAAAAGACGCAGGCTTTCATAGCTAGACTGCAATGGTAGGGACATTATTAAAATTATAAATTAGAAACCTCTAGCCTAGGGACGGCTAGCCTTTTTCAATTCGCGTGCCAGCTAAATAACGGTTTATTATTTTCAGGTGTCCAGTGTGCCACTTGTATTTCTTTTTAAAGATCAATTTTAAATCCCTGCTTTGATTTCAAACTATTGAATTATATTTTATAATTGTATTTGTTGTATTGTTATTAACTTGCATTTAATGTAAAGTAAAGAAACAGTATTTTTTAAATATTTCAGTTTAATATTAACAAATTGCATGTGGGAAATGTGATTTTCGATTTTTGCAATCTATCGTTAGAGCGCGTGTCAAGTAAATGTACATTTTTAGTAAATTTGTGCTGGAGACCGGGTATCATATAAATATGACGGATGTTATAAATATGTATCAATTTATTACGATTTTATGACAAACTCCTGCGAAATTCACGAAAAACTGCCCACCAGTCCTCGGCAAAATATACCGCATGCAATGTGTAAGAGTGGCGATTTTAAATGGGTACTAATACCTGCCCCACTTTTAAACGGTAATCCGCGAAACGGGTACTAGTACCCATCCCGCTTATAAGTGGCAATCTGCAAAATGGGTACAAATACCCGCTCCTGCTCATAATGTGTTAAGATAATGTAAAGTGTCAAGTGAAAAAATAAAATAAAGATAATTGTCTCTATGGTTGATCTTTACATTATGGTAACTTGGCGATTTTTTGGCGAAAATTTGGCAACCAACTCTCCTACAGCAAACCTCTATTTTTTTTCCCCCGCCGCCATTTTGTCTTCACGAAGTAAAGACATGTTTCTTTTCTTCTTATATACTGAACACTTCTTCCACCAATCTACTGCCGAATTACACTTATGCTAGAAATGTTATCAAACAAAACTGCTTAATCATGACAAATATTCACTGCAAAATTGGGAATACCATACTCCTTACGCGTTTTTCAAAATAACACATACACATAAACCATGTACACGCCGACTTATTTTTACTTAAAAAAAATCCCAGAATTGCACAAAAATGGCATTGCGCACACTCTTCACTATATCCATGTACACTGTTTTTTTCTCATAAATTAGAAAAATTTCATGAAAATACATGACAATTTTCTCAATCTTTAAACCCGGTAAAAAGAACATATAAGAAATTACCTGATCGCGAAAAAGTATTTACCCTTTACAAATATGAACATTTCCTTATATAAAATAAATAAAATATCCAAAAACTTTTACCTCTAAATCATCTATTACATTATACACGTCACCAACGAATTCATACCGCAAGCATTACAAATACTTAGTATCAAATATTTAAATTATTTCCATGCACGTTTATTTCAACTTAAACGTATACCAAATTCCTACAAACATAAAATTCACAAAATAACTATCATTTAATTAAAATATCACTAAATCATGTATACGTCGACTTATTTTTACTTAAAAAAACATCCCAGAATTGCACAAAAATGGCTTTGCGCACACTCTTCACTATATCCATGTACACTGCTTTTTTCTCATAAATTAGAAAAATTTCACGAAAATACATGACAATTTTCTCAATCTTTAAACCCGGTAAAAAGAACATATATGAAATTACCTGATCGCGAAAAAGTGAAATATGACAAATATGAACATTTCCACATATAAAATAAATAAAATATCCAAAAACTTTTACCTCTAAATCATCTATTACATTATACACGTCACCAACGAATTCATATCGCAAGTATTACAAATACTTAGTATCAAATATTTAAATTATTTCCATGCACGTTTATTTCAACTTAAATGTATACCAAATTCCTACAAACATAAAATTCACAAAATAACTATCATTTAATTAAAATATCACTAAATCATGTACACGTCGACTTATTTTTACTTAAAAAAACATCCCAGAATTGCACAAAAATGGCTTTGCGCACACTCTTCACTATATCCATGTACACTGCTTTTTTCTCATAAATTAGAAAAATTTCACGAAAATACATGACAATTTTCTCAATCTTTAAACCCGGTAAAAAGAACATATATGAAATTACCTGATCGCGAAAAGTGAAATATGACAAATATGAACATTTCCACATATAAAATAAATAAAATATCCAAAAACTTTTACCTCTAAATCATCTATTACATTATACACGTCACCAACGAATTCATATCGCAAGTATTACAAATACTTAGTATCAAATATTTAAATTATTTCCATGCACGTTTATTTCAACTTAAACGTATACCAAATTCCTACAAACATAAAATTCACAAAATAACTATCATTTAATTAAAATATCACTAAATCATGTACACGTCGACTTATTTTTACTTAAAAAAACATCCCAGAATTGCACAAAAATGGCTTTGCGCACACTCTTCACTATATCCATGTACACTGCTTTTTTCTCATAAATTAGAAAAAATTTCACGAAAATACATGACAATTTTCTCAATCTTTAAACCCGGTAAAAGAAAACATATATGAAATTACCTGATCGCGAAAAAGTATTTACCCTTTACAAATATGAACATTTTCACATATAAAATAAATAAAATATCCAAAAACTTTTACCTCTAAATCATCTATTACGTTATACACGTCACCAACGAATTCATATCGCAAGTATTACAAATACTTAGTATCAAATATTTAAATTATTTCCATGCACGTTTACTTCAACTAAAATGTATACCAAATTCCTACAAACATAAAATTCACAAAATAACTATCATTTCATTAAAATATAATTAAATTCAAAAACACTACTTAAAATATAAATGAGCACATACATTAAATTAATAAAAATTACCTTACAATCCTAATGACTTTAAACTAAATCATTGCTAATAACAATTTTCCCAATAATACCAAATTCCTTTCACCTTACATTTAGAACAATGCATAAAAATAATATCCTCAAATAATTAAAAATAATACTAACTTACCTAATCTTCTTCAGAATCTTGATTACGTGGCAGATACACTTTTCTAATTCATTCAATAAAATTATTGAAAGATCTTTCTGCGAATTTTTCCTCCATACTTCCTCCGCTAAATAAAAAGCAAACTTCTCTTTATCACAATG